ACTCGGCAGGCGGCTCTCGCGCCACCATTCGTCTTACGTTGTACGGCAAGCATGCCCGCTCAGCGACACAAGATTGGGTTGGCCAGTGCCTCTTGCTTCAGCGTTTCAAAGTCAACGATGGCGCCATCTCAGCCTCCGCCCATACATGCATTTCCATTGCTGCTTCGTTGCCCGAGGCCAAGCGTCTCCTCCACTGGTACAGAACTCAGTGAGCACATCCTCAGCCTCCTTGTACATTGTACATCGACTGCATTTAACCACAATCATGCTTATCTTTTCATTTTTCACTCTTTTCCTGCTTCACAAATGGGGTACACTTCAGTTTCACGTTCCCTCAAACAGAGGTTTCCTACCAGCCCACTCCGCAGGAACCTAGTAAACGTTCCTACCAGCTGTGCTGGTTGTACCGGTAGCTCAGTGCCGGCGTCACGCGCCCTCTGATTGGCCCGTTCCACGTTGCCAATAAATCTTTCGAATTTAATTTTTTCCTCTGGTCATCCTCCGCGCCATCGTCATTTCGAAGGATGCTGCGACTTGGACAGCTCGCCGTGACTCTCTTGGCGCTCGTTTCGAGCGCGACGGCGTGGCGCCGCCTCGAGCGCGCCCACGGAGCGGACACAATGGATCTGCGCATTCAACTGCAGGCCGAAGCGGACCTCGCTGCGCAGCTCGCGGCCGTCTCGGATGTTACGTCGGCTACGTACGGCCTGTACCTCTCGAACCTGGACACGGTGGTGCGGCCAAGCGACGATGCTGTCGCCACGATGCAAGCCTTACTCGGCAAGTACAACCCCGACGTGAGCCGCGCGGGCGACCTCTGGCGCGTGACGCTGCCGGTCGCGGACGTCGAAATGCTCTTCGACACCAAAGTGCACGCCTACAGCCTCGAAACGCATCGTATCTTGCGCGCTTCCAACGGCGTTGTGATTCCCGACAGCATTGCGGCGCATGTTGTTCTGATTGACGGCCTCGACCGCCTGCCTCGAACCAAAGCGCGTGCGTCGCGCCGGCGGCTGCAATACGGCGGTAACAATCCGCTCGCGAGCGTTGTTACGATCGAGACGCTCCAGGAACAGTACCGCTTGCCCAAGGATCTCGACAGCAGCTACGACGGCAATGGCATCGTCATTGGCACCTTCCTGGAAGAGACCTACATGGAGACAGACATCGAGTCGTACTTGGGCGGTAGATCGCGATCATCGTTTGTACGGACTCATGATTTGCGTGTAGTGAACGGCCAAGCGCCGCTTTCTGTGATGCCCGCACAGCGCAATTGCATCGGGAATGGCACCGGCAAGACCGCAACAAGCGAAGCCTCGTTGGACGCGCAGCTCATCGCGGGGCTTACACGGAACAACGCCACGACTGTTCTCTGTTACAACGAGCTGCGCCTTCCTGACGAGCCCGCGTCAGACGCCAACCAAGAGGTACAGTCGATGTCGATGCCGTGCGACAGGGCATTTATATACCGGAATGGGCTAGCCTTTTCTTCGCTTTATGCGCGACGTCAACGCCCTCGAGCCAGCACCGAGTGTCGTCTCCATCAGGCAATGCAGCTCTTGCGAAATGTCCAAACGAGTTCACGCTCATTTGGTCATATAGCTATGCCGACGACGAGTGTGCTCTGCCGCTCTCCTATCGCAATGCCCTCGATCTCGAATTCATCAAGGCCGGACTCCGGGGCACAACCATCGTTGTCGCGAGTGGCGACAATGGCGTCGTTGGCAGTCGATACCTCGAGGATTTCGGCCCCAAGCTCTGCGCCAAGTACCAGGTAGTACCCCGTTGCGCACCCCAGCATCATGCGACCATGCGTTCTCCAGCCTAGTTATCCGTCGTCGTCGCCGTACATTGTGTCAGTGGGCGCAACCGTCAACGTCGGCGGCAAGGAGACTGGCCTCTCGATCCGCAACGGAGGCGCCATCACGACCGGCGGTGGCTTTAGCGCCGACAGCCCGCGGCCCTCGTATCAGGTAGTCCCACCGCACTCTGTCGCTTCGC